CAGGAATGTTAAAACATTGTTTGGCTCTAACAGCCAAACTGTGTTTTAAGTTGTTTCACGTGGAACCTTATATCCACAGTTCAGGTGACTTAAGACAAATACCTGATATAAATTGGCTCTAAGCTGTGGTAGTGGTAAATGACCATCATGGAGGACTGCAGTGTTGGTACATGGTGCATGGTACCATGGTACATAACCATGGTGTGTGGCATTCATACATTTTTCTGCTACAACCTGTTGCGCACTCAGCATGCATGTGCTCCTGCTTGATGTCCTTGCTGGAATCCCTCAGACCGTTCTCCAAAAAGCCAGTTCTGGAAGAGCATTCATGACAGACACTTTGGACGACTGCAGACACAGTACCAATGCACTCAGACCTTTCTGTCAATATTCCACCCTGCCCCTTTGAAAAAAAAAATCACTCTCTCTCTCACCTCTTTGTTTCTCAGTGGTTGAACCACTTCTCTGATGGACAGCTCCAGGTCATTGAGATAGTCTTTTTCTGTCTGCATTAATTCAGCAATGATTTTCACTCTCTTGGCCATCATCCTTGTGTTCAGCTGCTCTTCACTTTCTTGTGGTGCAGTTATGGATGATGAAGGCCCAGCCTGTGGTGGTGCCATCTTTTCTGTTAAAATTGAGCACAGGAAGCTTTTAACTTGTAACATCTTCATCTGTAGTATGTTTTGAGGTACAGTGTACTTATATATATTCAGTATTTTTAGAGAAGTGAAATAGACTTGATGTGTTTTATCTAGGGACAAAACCTTCCTCCGTGACCACAAGTAAAGAAGGTCAAATGGGGAACCTAACTGGACACATCTACATGAGATGTTTACTGTGGAGCTGCCTAATTAGCTCTGCAGTAAATGTCCCAATGTCTACATGTGCCATGCTATTAGGATGGAGTAAACTAATTAACTTTGCTGCAGGTTAGTACTTGTAAATACAAGTGCTACCCTATGGCAGAGTGTTTTACTCTACAGCAACACACATGTAGATGCTGATGGGGCTGGCTGGGGCACAAGGGTGTTCAGTGCGAGGGCTGCCTGCTGGCTAGCTCCATACTGAAGTGCCCTCATGGCCCAGCCACCCCTCTGCAGCACACTGAGCCATATTAGAGTAACCCCAGGCTGGCAGGCTGATCCCCAGTACCCCTTGCCAGCCACGGCTGCTCTGACCTGGCTCAACATGCTGTGGTCCCAGGTGCACGTGTAAACATGGTGCCTGGGAGCAATAAACTCCGGTGCAAACTATGTCAGAGTTTATTGCTGTGCATTAATTCCCATGTATGTGCCCATTGGGTGGGACCACTATCCATGGTTGGGAAGTTTTGTTGTGGAAATCTTGTGTGCTTAGGACCACAGCTTCTGGGAAGCTTGACCTGTGTTAGGGTGGCATCACATGTTCCATTTACTTATTAAGTGCAGTTAAAAAGTGAGCAGATGCATGTTCAAGCAGTCTAGCATGTGTTAAGTATCCTCCTGGTGTTGCAGAATTTTTAGGTGAGGGTTATCTCCTACTATATGTTAACTTTAATAGGTCCCTATATTTCAGTGATTTGCAGCTGTTGCAAGTGAATGTGTGACACAACCCTTAGTGCAGAACAAAAACGTGTGTCAGGAACTAGGTTTGTGGCCATTGAAAACTCCAGTACCTTTATGGGGGATGAGGAAAGGAGGATGGATTTTCACCTAAAACCTACATAGGAATTGCTATATGGGAACTGACAACTGATCCCAGTAGTCCATGACTCTGCTTCTGAGCTGCCCATTAAGATTTGCCTTGGTGGAAGAATTCCTACAGCAAACAGTTATGGCATAATTGGCATTTTTATATTCATATTAGAAATTTTAGTTGGGATTGTCAAATGAGGCTATGGGATGTAGATGCCACTTAAAAATCATTGGGATTTATGCAACTCACTTCCTTATCCTCCTTTAGGAATAAAATCTCTCCCTGAGATTATTAACCCTTTGAGGCAGGGGAGAAATGCCTTTCTATGTGAATCAAAATCTGCATTTAAAGGAACATAATTAAAATAACCTTTTCCATATTAAAGATGCAGTTTTGATGTCTGTTGTTAATGTGAGGGTATTTTAGGTCATCTTTATTAGAAGGTGTCAGTACTGATGATGAAACCTTTAATTCCTTCTCTTAAGGTTTCTTTAAATGTAGCTGAAGGATTCTGTGAAAAAGACAGTAGGTATAATAACCAATAACAAAGATCTTTTGGGGCAGAAAGTAGCATGGAGATCAGGCCACTCATGGCTATTTTTGCCTATTTTAAACCTAAAAAGGTCTATTTTATCCTAGAAACTTGAAAATGTTCCTTTTATGTTGATGAGTCCTATGTTAGCCATGTGTTACAGGCAGAGAAGGGAAGCAATCTGTATGCATTACAGGACCTGCACCCAACATGCTTGGTTTATAATAATGTCCTTCCCTTTCGATGGGGCACAAGGTATTTGGTTTGCCAATCCAGCAGGTATTTTATTTGCACTGCAGAAGTGTATTTTATCTGTGTGTACAGATGATACATTCTTTTTTTTTAGTAGGAAAAACACCTAATAAGAAGAGGGATACTTTGGAAGGTATTCTGACGTTTTATTGCTAGCCACAAGATGGTGCATAGTACCAGCAAAAATGGACATACCATTACTATGAATCTCAGCAGTACTCATAACTTTTTGATAGAACAGGACTTACTGCAGAATGGCAACGCACTAGAATACTCTATTAAGAACCAGAAGTTACTAGCTGCAAGTTAGGCATTATTATGGATTCATTGTGTCACCTTCACCATCTCTTACAGTTATACTGACCAGTGATATTCACAGTTTTGTCATTAACCTTTCTCATTTCAAATGCCACACTCCCCAGTAAGACTGGGATTGACCATGATCACTGTTTTTAACTAAGGGCATTCCTTTGAGTATCTTTTGCCTCCATTTTGGTATTTTCAGACACCGGGGATCACCCTGACTAAACTCATGGACCAATTTGTCTGGACATTGTTCTAGGCCAATCATTATTTTTACCTTTAAGCTTTTCAGGGTTGGTATATATATATATATATAAAATGAGAGCTTAGATGGAATAAATGTTTGTTCTTCAGGTCTATTCCTGACAAACACAATGGAAATACAGACTAGGGCAAGAAATTTTCCCTCACAAGGTCCAGAGTTTCTAGAGATGTTTAGCCCCACTTGAGTCCTGATGTAGGCTAGTGCAATTGCACTGATTTCAGTGGACCTGCACACAACTATAATCTAAATCAAGGATGCTACAAAGTGGCTTGAATGCACATTATAGACTAAACCAGAGATGTATAGCATAAGCTTTAGTGAGCCCAGGCTCACTTGGTTAAATGCATTATCAGTTGGCATATGAATCTAAAGAATGTCATCAATCCAGTCTTTCATTAGATGCATCTGATGACGTGAGCTCAGGCTCACAAAAGCTTATATTATATCTAATTTAGTTAGGCTATAAGGTGTAAAACAACTCTGCTGTTTGCTTGACTTCATACTGATAGCTAACTACCTCTCTCCTCTCTCAAACCAACTGGTCTTTCACCAGTAAGTAGCACACACTGGTGAAAGGGAGAACAAAGCCATCAGACAATCATTTCTCATTATTTCCCTACTCAAATTTTAGGGTCATATCTTTCTTTCTGCTGATTCTGTATTATAATATATCCAGATTTTCCATAGAAAAATCTTAGATGGGACTTCATAGTGAACTAACAGAAACACTGCAAAAACCTGCATCAATTTAATTTCCATCTGTATGCAAAAAAGCAACATTCCATTGAGGCTGTCTGGGAAAACAATTATGTTATGTACATTGTGAAAACAGATCATCAGAAAACATGAAAAATCCTATCAGTATCATTATAATTTGCTATCAATATTAATAGACTATTCTTTGGCACGTGGATATAAACAGACTTTTTGGAAAGAAATATTCTAATCCTATATTGTAAACGTTTTTTAAAATAAGTAATCTCTGCCTTTTTCTTGCTGTATCTTACCTGAAGCTTAAAGCTGCCATCCCTCAAATGGTTGCTTTTTGTTCTGTCTCATTAGATTGCCTTAATCAAATTCAATCTTTCCATTATGTCAGTGTTCATCTATGATTCTCTTGATATGGTATATAATATTTATGTGCAAGGAAACAAAAACTATGCTTAACCTCACAACAATGAAACAGCTGGGAGAAATATCTATTGTATATCGCTTCCTTACGGAAGACATGTTTCTTTAATTTTTCCTTTGTTAAAAGTAATATAATTTTGCATATCCACTAAACTCATTTGCTTTTTCACTTCGGATGTGCCTGTCTCTGTGGAAAGCAAAAGTGAGCTATTCAACTTTTGAAACCTATGATTTTTATGTTCAGCTTAAAGTTTTTATTGACCTTGAGGACCTGAACAACATTTTGTAGTCAGTACAGGACTAGGGTAAGTTTTATGAATGCAACAATAACAAACACTAATACTTTGAGGATAGATTTTTCCAATCTGGAATTTGACGGGATGGGTCAGGACATAGTGGGGGAGAGGGCAGAAGAGGCATTGTTAAGGGCCAGTTACAATACTAATGGTATTGTACAATAACTCACAGAATATTGCAAGAATTTGGTTTCTTCACCTTCAAGGTATCAGATTTAGAGCTGGGCAATTTTTTTTCTGTTGAATAGTTTTAACAGTTAATGACGTTCTGAGGCCAGTTTACATAAATGTAATTCATTGTCTTGAAAAGTATTTAAAGAAATTAAATGTTCTGTTAGACCTCAAGTGATTTTTTTCAGGTTTTTCATTTAAGCAAGAAAGCTAAAATTTTGTGATTCAGTCCTGAATTGCCAGCTGTACTCTGGTTATATGACTGGAACATAGGAGCATAAGTGCCATACTGGGGAAGACCAATGTTCTGTCTAGCCCATTATCCTGTCTCCAACAGTGGCAGGAGTGGTTGCTTTAGAGGGAGAGCATTGAACTGGATATATCTAGAGTTGTCTATCCCCTATTCTACACCCTCCCTGGCATTCACCATTATTAGTCTAGAGATGCCAGAGGAAACATCTCCAACTGTTCTTTTCAATGGCTATTATCCATCTTCTATACGTTTGTCTCGTCCCTTTTTGAACTTGGAAGATTCCCCAAATGATGGCATTACCAAAGCAGGTACTTGTGTGCTACCTAATCCTTTTGAAAATAGGAAGCCTAAGAGCATCTCTCAACAAGAATCAGAAAAGACACTGATGCTGAAGTTCTCCTAGGAGAGACCTGGGCCAGACTTATGGGACCATATTCACTAGGAGCAATGCAGGCCCATGCTCTGCCATATCTCTCTTGGCTGTGCAGCAGCCTTTAGAAAGTGTCTGGATTCTCCAGTCTTTCTCCTCCATAGAACAGGCAACTTTGGGAAAACAATTGTTCCCACCTCTCTTCCCATGCAAAACACTCAATGGATATGGGATCTGCTTCTAATGGTTCAGGTCTAAATCTCTGTGTCCTGGTGCTCCCACTGAAGGTGGAGAATGTTGAGCTGATTGCAGCTTACATGGCAATAAAAAAAAAATATTGTAGGCAGAGAAGATGAAATTCCTTCCCTTGCAGTGGAT